CTTGAACCAACTTCCATGTATCATCATTCGGCAAAACCGCTTGAACTTCATTGAGCATGTCCACTGCACGGGTTGGGTCACTCTCCCAGCCCACGCGCGCAGCTGCCAACTGAGCGTTGGCAGGAGCTGGAGCCTGGTTCGACGCGGCTGCGTCAACGTTTCTGGCGTTTCCAACCACCCTCCGAACGATACCGCTTGTCTTGTGACGCTTGGGCTCGGGCTGCTCCATGCCAGCTCGCGCCTCCAACCAAGAATTGTCTTCCACCGTTTTACTGCTATTTGAAACGCTTCCCCAAAGCTCCGCGGGGACGACCTCCTGCGAGCAGATGTTCTGCACGAAACCCCCATCAGCAAGACCTACCATGTGGTACCCGTTCGCAATGGTATGTTCCCCACTAGTAAGCAAGGCATCACCTGGGTAGACGCGCTTGAGAACCTTGTTCGACAATGCAGTCTCGAAGACTGCTCCCCTGGAGACGCATAATACCAGAGATGATTCTTTTTCAAATGTGGTGACATTCGCAGGGAGCACGTGGTCTGCCTGAACGCCCCCCCCCCCTCGCAAAGACGGAGCATCTCATAACCTCCAACAATCGCATAGCTCTGAGCTTGTACGATGTCATCTGCGCTCAGATGACGGATTACCTTGTATGACTCCACACCTTTGTATGTGCATGTTGCTTGAGCGACAACCACGTAGCCATCCCATTCCCTATCGCATCTGTCGCAAACCCCGTAAGGTAAACAAAGACACATGTCAGTCGACTTGCGACGACAATCGAACATCAAACCGACATCGCCATCTGCGCAACAATCGGCCCATGATCCGCACGGGAAGCACTTCATAGACCAAAGGGTTCGCTTGGAATTCTCACGACGAAGGTATTGAAGCTGAAACGGCTGCGGCTCAAGGAGGAGGGAGTCGACTGAGGTGTTAGGAGAAAAGGCTTGGGGCAAGACGCGAAGTGAGAGAAACAGAAATGAAACAACAGAAGATATGTGCCCAGAAAGCCGTAGGCACACAGCTTCCCCCTCTCAGAGTGGAGGAGAGGGGAGGGGCAGGGCAAGTGTGTGTGTGTGGGGGAGGCAAAAAAAAACATGCCGCGGAGAGGGCACGGGCATGGGGTTTGGATTGGATTGGCCCTGGTTCGGACCCGACGGCGGCGAGGCGTCGACGTGCTGGAGTTAAGTCGGGCCTGTCCCCCTGCAGGGGGACTTTGGGCGAAGAATCTAGGAGACTTGAAACATGCGCAAAACACAAACACAAACATAGTAAACATATCGTCCCCAGACTCTCTTTTGCCGCGACTACTTTTGAATCTTCCTCCTGTAGAGGGTCAGGCTTGCCCAAGGGGCGTCGCTGCGTTGCTCGGGCAGCAAACCCGGCGCCGCCTCGGCGGCCGTGGCCCCCCGCGAGGCGAGCGCCGAGCGCAGAAGCCCGAGGCTCCCGCCCCTCGCGGCCCCCCCGGCCAGGTTACGACAGCGAGAGGAGGCGCCAAGCCGACGCTCGCCGAGAGCGAGAGGTGGCTATCCTCCTCCTCTTCCTCCTCCTCCTCCTCCTCCTCCGCCTCCTTCTCCGCCTCCTCCTCCTCCGCCTCCTCCTCCTCCTCCTCCTCCTCCTCCTCCCCCTCTTTCTTGTCTCCTTCTCCTCCTCCTCCTCCTCCTCTTTGTTACCTCCTCGGAGGTATCTGCCCTTGACCCCCGCCCGCCAGATCGATGCCTTCCCCGGACACTCCGACGCCGTGGCCGGGAAGGCACGGTCGGGTGAGTTCGGGGGTTGCTAAAGGTGCCCCTGGCCCGATCCCCCAGCTTTTCGCTCCATTTTGGAGCCCCTCGTGAGGGGTGCCCTGGAGGCCGTGGGAGCCTCCCTTGGAAATCCTGGGGGCACCTCGGGCAAGGGGCACTTCCAGCAACACCCGATGGGTGGGAAGAGGCTGCTGCCCTTCGTGGGAGCAGAGGGCAGAGACCAGCCCCTCTCGGAGAGAGCAAAGCTCGCGGGCGCCCGGCGGGATCGTCGCGGCGGGAGTGCCAGCCGAGTCGGGCCATGACATCGGGGAGGCCTCGCGGCCCAGGCCAGCGGAGAGCCTCGGCGACGACGGCGTGGCCGAGGAGCGCGGCCCAGGGGCGGCCTGCCCACGCTCGGGCGATAGTCGATGGGGGCGATGAAGGGGGGCGGGGGGTGGGGTGAAACGTGCACTGTTCGTGCCCCTTTTGGACCCCTTTGGGGCACAAGAGGTGCACTTTTCTTCACCCACCCACTTAATGGTGCCGATCACAAGCGGGTAGTGGGAGGGGGGAAGGGAGGCCTTTTAAAAGGAGGCTGCTTCCTAGAGGGCGCCAGCTTTTACCTCTCTAGATAAGGCGCGCGCCTTCTAAGAAGCAGGGATGCTTCGAAGAAGCCCTCCCCCCTCCCCCTACCCTCCCTGCGCGAGGCTTAACTTATCGCAGCCCTCCGTGTATCGCACCCCCATTACCCGACGCCCGACGCGCAGACGAGCCGCGAATACCGTCCGTCCTGCGTTCGGGAGCGGCCAAGAGGGGGGTGTCCAAGAGGGGGGGGGGCAAATCATGACCGGCGGCATGTGCGCGGCCCAGCGGGGGGGCCAGGGACGTATCGAAACAAGAAGAGGCGACATGAAATCTGTGGAGATATCATGGCCCCCGCCATGATAACCCCCCCCCAGTCATCACCCCCCTCTTTGCCGCCCCCGACCATTACCCGAGGCCCGACGCGCAGACGAGCCGCGAATACCGTCCGTCCTGCGCGCACGACTCGTGGAGGACAGGGTTTACGGGGTGTTGTCGGGTGCGCCTAAGAAGGCGGCTGCAACGCGCAAGGCAAAAAAAAAAAACTTTACAGGTAAAACCGTTTTTTTTTGCCTGTGGCGTTTTTTTTTTGCCTTGCGCGTCGGGTCCCCGGGGCACTGGCCGGGGCGCGCGCGCCGGGCGGGGGGGTGCTCCTCCGCTTCCCTCGGCCTGGTTCACAAAAGGAATCGCGACCAAGGTTTTTGCCTGTGGCGCTCCTGGGGCCCAAAGAAGGAATCGCGACCTGTTTTTTTGCCTGTGGCGCTTTTTTTTGCCTTGCGCGTCGGGCCTCCGGGTCTTGCCGAGAGCGCGCGCGTGTAGAGGAAGTGCTCCCCTGCTCTCCTCCGCGTCAGTGGCGCTCCTGAATCCCAAAGAAGGAATCGTGACCTGGGTTTTTGCCTGTGGCGTTCTGGGGCCCAAAGAAGGAATCGTGACCTGGGTTTTTGGCCTGTGGCGTTTTACTTTCGCCTGCGCGCTCGGGCCGGGCGGACGGAGGTGCCATGCGGACGCAGCCACTGGAGCCTTCGGTGGAGCTGCATATGGGGCCACGACCCGTGTGAGGGGTGTGAGGAGATATGGTCGGGCATGCGGTGAAAGTGCTGACGATGACGGGAGGGGGGAGGAGGAGGAGGAGGAGGAGGAGAGGAGGAGGAACGCGGGGGACTGAACGCTGGAGGCCGATGCGAAGTACTAAAGATGAGGAGGTGTATTAGGAGAGGGACGGCGGACCCTATCGGGCGGGTCGGGCGGGCGGACCCTAACGGGCGGGTCGGGTCGGGCGGGCGGGACACTAAAGTCGGATGCGTATACAGCGTGACACATGAGAACCCTAACGGCCGGAACGGGACGGGCGGACCCTATCGGGCGGGTCGGGCGGGCGGACCCTAACGGGCGGGTCGGGTCGGGCGGGCGGGACACTAAAGTCTGATGCGCATACAGCGTGACACATGAGAACCCTAACGGGCGGGACGTGACGGGCGGACCCTATCGGGCGGGTCGGGCGGGCGGACCCTGACGGGCGGGTCGGTCGTTCGGCGGGACACTAAAGGAGGCTGATGCCATACAGCAAGAACACATTAGACCCTACGGGCGGGGCGGGAACGCGGCCCTATCTGCGGGTGGGGGGGGCGGACCCTAACGGGCGGCTCGGGACAGGCGGGCGGGACACTAAAGTCTGATACATATACGGCATGACGCATGAGAACCCTAACGGCCCGGGCGGGACGGGCGGACCCTATCGGGCTGGTCGGGCGGGCGGACCCTAACGGGCGGGTCGGGTCGGGCGGGCGGGACACTAAAGTCTGATGCGCATACAGCTTGACACATGAGAACCCTAACGGGCGGGACGGGACGGGCGGACCCTATCGGGCGGGTCGGGCGGGCGGACCCTAACGGGCGGGTCGGGTCGGGCGGGCGGGACACTAAAGTCTGATGCGCATACAGCGTGACACATGAGAACCCTAACGGGCGGGACGGGACGGGCGGACCCTATCGGGCGGGTCGGGCGGGCGGACCCTAACGGGCGGGTCGGGTCGGGCGGGCGGGACACTAAAGTCGGATGCGTATACAGCGTGACACATGAGAACCCTAACGGCCGGAACGGG